CGAGCCTAAATGTGCTCAGAGGTTAGACCTCTTTGTTGTTGTTATTGTTGTTTATTTTGTTTTTTGAGACAAAATCTTACTATGTAGTTCAGGTTGGGCTTGAACACACTATATAGCCCAGGCTGGACTTGAATTTATAATAATCCTCTTGCCTCAGTCTCCTGTGTGCTGGGATTATAGGCATGCACCACCACTGCCTGGCTTTGCACTGTGCTCTTAACACACACACACACACACACACACACACACACGGACACACACACACACACACACACGGACACGCACACACACACACACACACACGGACACGCACACACACACACCTGAAAAACACATTGAATGGGACAGAAAGAAATTTTGGGAGGTGATGGATAAGTGTTTCCTTGATTGTAGTAATAGTTTCACAAGTATATACCTATGTCCAAACTCATCAAAGTGTACACAATAAACATGAGCTCTTTACTGTATGTCATTTAGATTGCAATGTTTTTTTTATTTTATGGAAAAAATTAAAACTATTTCATAACAAAGTAATAGAATAAAAATAGTTACTATATTGAGTATTATTATCTTTTGAGTACTCAGAGTACAAGATATGGGCATAAAAAATTCTCCAAATGACATAAGCACAAATGTTTCTTTTCAATGAAGAGAAGCTATTAGTATATCTGCCTTGTATTTTTTTTTCTTTTCCATTCTTTCCTTTCCCCTTTCCCCTTTTCCCCATCTTAGTTCCTTTTTCCTTTTCAACAATTTCTTCCCATTTCACAATATCTATTGTACATTTTGGACCTTATTAACTCTTTCAGTTTCTTACACCAGAGAGATAATACAATGTTTACACACGTGATTCTGATTTATTCCACTTATGAGTATAGTCTGTAGTTGCATCCATTTGCCTATAAAAGTCTCAAGTTTATCCTTCATTATGGCTGAGTAGTATTCCATTGTATAAAAAGACCACATCTTTTTTTATCCATTCCTTGGTTGATGAGCATTCAGGTTGTTTTCAAGATTCAGCTATTACAAATTGTGCTGCTATAAACATGGGTGCAGAGCCAGGGATTTCACTCAGTGGCCCAGTGCCTGCCTGGCAAATATGAGATTGTAATTTGGATTCCCAGTGCCAAAAAAAAAAAAAATAATAATAACTTCTTTTAAAAAAGAGGTTCAGGGATACTGGATAGCCTGTGGCACAGTGCCTGCCTGGCAAGCACGAGGTCCTGAATTAAATTTTCAGTACCTCCCCCCAAAAAATAAATAAACATAGGTGCACACATATCGCTGTGATATGATGTTTTTAATATTTCCAGGAATTCACCCAGAAGGGGAGTAGTTGGGTCCAGTAGGACCTCTAAACCTAGTTTTTTGTGGAATCTCCACACTGATTTCTACAGTGGTTGCACCAGTCTACACTCCCACCAACAGTGGAGAAGGGTTCCTTTTTCCCCATAGTCCCTCTAGCATTTATTATTGGTTGATTTCTCAATGACAGCCATTCTTTCTGGGGTGAGATGGAATCTCAGTGTTTTAATTTACATCTCTAGAATAACCAGTGTTGTTGAACATTTTTCATATATTTATTTTCCATTTGTACTTCTTCATCTGAGAAGTGCTTATTCATCTCAGATGTCCATTTTTGGATTGGGTCTTTGGATTTTGGGGGCCTAGTATTTTTCGATTCTCTATATGTTCTAGATGTAAGTTCTTTGTCTGAAGGACAACTGGTTAAAATATTTTCCTGGTCTGTGGGTTGTCTTTTCACTCTGTTGGTGATTTCTTTTGATGTGCAAAAGCTTTTTAATAAGATGAGACACCAGTTGTTGATTCTTTCAAGTATTTCCTGTGCAGTCTGGGTTTGTTCATTAAGTATCTGCCTACACCTATGTCTTCAAGATTTCTCTTCCAGTAAATTTAGTGTTTCAGTTTTAATATTTAGATCTTTGATCCATTTTGATTATAGTTTAGTGTGTGGTGATAGCCATGGGTCTAGTTTTAGTCTTCAGCCTGTGGAAAGCCAGTTTTTCCCGCACCATTTATTAAAGAGGCTTTCTTCCAGTGAACATGTTTGGCCTCTTTGTCAAAGATAAGGTGACTGTGTTTGGAGTAATGTCTGCACCTTCTAATCTGTCCTACTGATCCTCAGGTCTGTCTTTTTTGCCAGTATCATACCAATTTTATAATAGTAGCATTTTGGTATAATTTCGAGTCTGGGATTGTGATCCCCAGTGCCTTATCTTTGTTGCCCAGAATTGCTTTGCTCTTCTAGGTGTCTTCTGGGTCCAAATTTGTTTTTAGGAATGTTTTCTTTCATTCTGTGAGGTATGCTAATAGTATTTTGATCAAAATCACATTAAATGTGTATAAAAATTTGGGGAGTATGGTCATTTTCACTATGTTGTTTCTTCCTATCCGTGAGCAAGAGGTATCTTTCCATTTTCTGATATCCTGTTCAATTTCCTTTTTTCAGTGAACTGCAGTTTTCAATGTATAGATCTTTTACTTGCTTTGTTAGATTGATTCCTAAGTATTTCATTTTTTGGGGTGCTATTGTGTAGGATGTGGTTTCCCTACTTTCTCTCTCAGTGAATGTTTTGTGCACAGGAATGCACAAGAAATAAATCAAAAATTAAAATTTTCTAACTATGCATGTTCTACTTTGACTAAACTTTATATTTTGGAATAATTCCAGATTTATAGTAAAGGTGAGCGATTCTATACATTTTCATCCATATTCATCTATTATTTCCATGTATCATGATTACATGAGATAATTGTTAAACTAAGAAACCAGCCTTACTACGTTTACTGGTTAACTGAACTTCAGTCTTTATTTGTATTTCACTAGTTTTTCCTCTACTGGTGTTTTTCTGCTCCAGCAGCCAGGTGAGGGTACCACACTATATTTAATTACCCCATCTGTCTGGTCTCATCTGCTGTGTCATTTTAATTCTACCTTTTTTTTATCATGACCTTCAGTCTTTGAGTGCACTTAAAGTGTTTTTTAGATTGTCCTTCAATTTAGGTTTGCTCATGACTGGGTTGATGTTATGGATTTTTGGAAGTGTTACGGCTTCTATCTAGATGTCCCCCAAAGCTTCCTGTGCTCATAGCTGGGGTTTTCTGGAACTGGCTGGATCTATAGGCAGGTGTGTGGTAGTCAGATTAATGGTGCATGATACTCATATTAAGGGTGTGTGGTACTGAATTAGTCCACTTATTGGAATTAGCATAGTTCTGGGTGTGGCTGAATGGATTTACTAAAGACAGAAGCCCCACTCTGGACATAGGTGATGCCAAACAAAGGCTTGTGTCCTGGATGGGGTAAAAGGGAAAGGCAGGCTCACTGCTGTTGCTAGCTGCCTGCCACATCATGGACTGTTTCTCCCTTGTGATGCCCCTCTGCCATGCCACCCTGCCTTGGAGCCAGCTGACCATGGGCTGAAACCTGTACAAACTGTGAGCTGAAATAAGCCCTTCTTCCTCTAACTTGTGGATGTTGGGTATTTTGTCTCAGCAACAAGAAAATAACTGAGACAGAAAGGATATGCAGAAGTGAATGGCCCTCATCATATCACATCATGGGTAGATGGTGACTTACCACTTGTGCAATGATTTGAATCCCTCTCCTTTGTTGCTCAGCATTGTCACCATGACAAAATACATGCGACACAACTTAAAAGGAGGAAAGGTTTATTTTGGCCCACAGTTTCAGTCCAGGGTTGTTTCCCTTCATTGCTTTGAGCCTGTGGTGAGGCAGAACATCATGGGGGGAGTTCAGGATTGAGCCAAGATGTTCAGTTCATGGCAGCAGGGAAGCAAAGGAAGAAAGAAAGGGCCAGGGCCCCAATATCCCCTCTGAAGGCATGGCTTCAATGACCTAACTTCCTTCCACTAGTCTCCACCTCCTAAAAGTTCCACCCTTCCCATGGTGTCACAAGCTGCAACCAAGCCTTCAACACGTGGCCTCTGGGGGATACTTTATGTCCTAACTATAACACTCCCCCCCCCCCAAATTTCATGTGTTAGAAACTTAATCTCCAAATTACGTGGTGATGGTATTTGGAGGCAGGGCCTTTGGGAAGTAATTAGGAATAGATGAGTTCGGGAGAGTGGAGCTTGCATGACGGCATTCGTGAGTTTACAAGGAGAAGAGACTTGAGCTGGCACACGTGCTCTAAGTAGTGCCCTCTGCCACGTTATGATGCAGGAGGGAGACCTGCACTGGACACTTAGCAGGTGCATTATCCAAGGACCGGCTCAAACCTTACAGACGCAGAAATCCGCACCCTGAAGTTTTTGAACAGCATTCCAATAGTCACCCTGCCTTCTAGAATAGGCTAACATTAACCAAGCTCAAGGCTTGCGTCTATGTATTCCCATCTTCACAGACATACACATTGCTTCATTTGATCCTCCCCTGGCATCCGTCCTACAGGCGGAAAGGGCGCCTGCACTCTGTCAGTCTAGGGAAGAGTGGGGTGAAGGTCAATCTGTGGCGACAACCTACCAGGAAAGCGGGGCGCGTTCGGTATGTGACATAAACTGGGGCTCGGTGTCGGGGGCACCTTTGCACAGCACTCGGCCGAGGTTCCCGAGCGAGGGCTCCCCAGTAATAAGCCCACGGGGCGTCTACCAGGGGGAATCCACTACAGGGTCTCGAATGGGAAAGTATGAATTCAGCTGCGCGCGGAGAAAGCTTTTCCAGCGCCACCACGAAGAGCGCTCCAGTTAAGAACTGAACTCATCGCGGGCTACGACATGCCGGGCCCGGCTCAAACGTTCCTCCTGCTCTGGGCCCCAACCGGCCGTGGATGCGCGGGGTGTCCTGGAGTGTCGCTTCCAATCCCGCCAGGATCGAGCGAGAAAAATCTCGGGTACCCAACCTTCGGACTGCCGCGGCTCGGCAAACCCCGCCCCTTCCGCCGGTCCGGCAGTTTGGACACGCCTCTTCCGCTGGCGTCCCCGCGCGGGCCCCGCCCCGCCTCTTCCGCCAGCCCCGCCCCTTCCGGTCACACTTGCCCACCCGCGTGGGTCTGGTGTGGCCCGGTCCGTGGAGGTGTGCCCCTTCCGTCCTTTCCCTTGCATCTCCGCCATGGGGGTCCGCAAGAGGAAGGTCTCGGGCAGTACGGATGGCGCGGTTTCCGCTACGGGCGCAGTCAAGCGGACCCGCACGGAAGAGCTCACGGGCGTGCGGTTCAAGGCTCTGCTGAGGGACCCGCAGGGCCCCGGGCCGGGTGAGTGCGGGGCGCGGGGCCAGCGCGGGGAGCGCGTGCAGGCGAGGCGGCCTTCTGCCGCAGCCAGACGCAGCCTGTCCTTCCGCAGCTTTGGGGTCACTGAGGGTCGGAGCCAAGCCTCTGGTTCCGCAAGAAGCGAGCTCGGTGATTGGGCGTCCAGGGTCCCGGGCCGGCCTGAGCTGGCAGCGGCAAGCGGGCCCTGACTCTCAGCTGTGACAGTTTCATGCGACTCCGCGGTTCCCTTGCCCCGCAGCAACCCTCAGCAAGTTTTAAACCTCTTTATTGCGCTTGTCAGGAGAATAAAGGGAGTGCCGACATTCACGCATCAGATGATGCTTGAGTCCCTACAGGGGGACAGCTCAGGGCAGCTAACTCATTGAGCACAGCTTGTTATTCCTTGGGCTGTTGGCATCACTGTCCATAGCTTTGGGCCTCCAGCGCTCTTGCTGACCTGCTGACACACCACAGCCCACCCCAGCTACTTGTCCCTTGTCCAGGATTGGATCGGAGGCGGGTATTAAGCAGATTCTGTAATTTAATTTCACATGTTGTAAAGTATAACCATAATTCGCAGATATTTGTGATCCTTTGAAAAGTACGGCGATTATTCGGCAAAAACACAGTTGAACATGTTGGCACCATACTAAAATAAAACAGTGACTGTTTCTTCCATCTTAGGAGGAATTACTGAATTGATCTTTAGAACATCCCCAACAGGGTTGGTGGCGCACACCTGTAATCCCAGCACTCGGGAGGCTGAGGCAGGAGGATCGTTGTGAGTTTGAGACCAGCCTGAGCTACAAAGTGAGCTCAAGGCCAGCCTGAACAGCATAGTGAGACCCTGTCTCAAAAAGAGACACACACACACACACACACACACACAGAACGTCCTAGAATTCTAATTTGTTTTTTGGTACCAGGAATTAAATTCAGGACCTTGCACTTGCCAGCCAGGCACTTATGCCGCTGAGCTATATCCCTGGCCCTCTAATTTTTCTCTTGTAGATTTTCTTTAAAACTTTTGATGCTTGGTCTTCCTAGTCAATGCTAAGAAGGTGATTTCTACTTTAGGATAGAATTACACATTTCACTCATGTATTCATTCATTTATTTGTTAGGATAGAGATAAAATATTGAATAAAAACATGACACAGGCCTCTCCCCAAGCCTCCCTAAGTGAGGAAGGCAGATGATCAATAAAATCACAGTACAATAGTTCCAAGCCAAATTCTTCAGCGAAGCTGCACATAGTACCTGAAGGTTCTTAATGGGCTTTGGATGTAAGCTTTGAGACTGAAGAAGGCCCCTCCCAGGAACTGGCTTTTTAAAAGGGCTGTAGGATGGAACAAGATTGTAGGATAGGACAAAAGGGTGTTTCTGGCAGAATAAAGAGCATGTTCAGTTATTGAAAAGATACTGTATCCATACTTGATGGTTCAGCCCAGAGAGCACTGTGACGTTTAGGTGCAGTGTCATTGAGTAGATGTCAGAAGGACAATCGGCAGACAGGTGGTGGGTGTAGGTGAGGTAGTTGAAAGGTGCCACAAAGCTGAGACAGTGAAAGTGCAAGTCCCTGGTGTGAGGCTGTGTTAGGTTTATGTATCTAGTCTGTATCTGGAATTCTCTCCCTGCTGATATTACTGGCGTGCCCTGCCACACCTGACTCAGATGGTGTTTTAAAATTTCAATTCTGACTGTTGAATTCTGCTCAGGACATGCTTCGCTGGTACCCCACTGCCCTTAAAATCCGGTCATTACCATTACCTGCCTGCTTCTCTCATTGCCATTCTGCTCTGTGTACTTTGCTTTCAGGTCAGGCCACCCTCCTGACTTACCCACCTCCCATCCTACCCCAGGTTTCAGCCACACTCCGCCCTGTGTGCAGCCCTGGGGCCTTTGCATGTCCTTGACTTGGAACACTGTCTTGGCCCTGCCTCCAACTCATTCTTATTGTCAGGTTTCTCTTTTTCTTTCTTCCTTTCTTTCCTTACTTTCCTTTCTTTTCTTTCTTTTCTTCTCTTCTCTTTCTTTTCTTTCTTCTTTCTCTTCTTTCTCTTCTTTCTCTTCTTTCTTTCTTTCTTTCCTTTCTTTTCTTCCTGGTCTTTTTGAGGCAGGGTTTCACTATGCAGTTCAGGCTGGCCTTGAACTCACTTTGTAGCCGAGGCTGACCTCAAACTCACAGTGATCCTCTTGCCTCAGCCTCCCAAGTGCTGGGATTACAGGCGTGAGCCACCACGCCTGGAAGATTTATCATTATTTCTTAAGAGAGAACTTCTAGTCCTGCGTTCTAAATCTTGTTCCCTACTGTAACCTCTCATTACACCCTTGGCTTTTGCTTTCTAGCACTTAGTACAGTTTGTAATTTTTGCTTCATGGTCTTTTGCTTCATGGTCTCTTCAGTAAGTCCTTCATGGCACTTACTGCAGCTCATAATGTATGTCTATTTAAGCGATTGTGGGAGGTATTTAATAAATATTTATGGATGAGTATTGGTCTCTGCCATATCATTTTAAATACCATATGGACAGAAGCCATTCCCAGTTCATTCAGCAGCACATCCCAGGCACCCACTCTAGTGCCTAGCGTGTAAGGTTGGCGCTCAGGATGGTGAATGAGCGCAGAGATGGCCAATGTCACAGACCGTCAGTTCCCATCCTGCAGTACCCTAGGCTTCCTGGAGTTCCATGTTAGAGTTTGGCAAATGAATCCTGGAAAAGAGATGAGAACTAGCACTCTTCTCTCAATAGTGGCAGCCCTTGCTACCTTGCATTCTGTTTTCCTGAAGGAGAGGGGTAGGGTATTCTGAGTGACTAGGGTGCCCTGAGGATTTTGCTCCTATGACCCTGCATCATCGTGGCCCTAGCTGGGCTATGCTGCAGATGCCTGGGGCAGTACCTGCACAGCCAAGGTGCTCTATCAGCATCTAAGGTAAATGTTTTAAGGAACAAGTGTGGCTGCTAAGGAAAAGGCGGCACTGAGCCATAAAGTGGGCTCCAAGAAGAAGACTGGGCGAGGCGGGCAGAGGGCGGAATGTGACCAGAAACACTGCTGCTGTCGAAGATTATCTGGGTCTTTGGTTGTTTCGGGGTTTGTCTTGCACTGTGTGTGATGCTGGATGCCCCACAGGTAAACTAGACCCTTTGCACTTCCTGCAGACAGTGAGTGGGTACAGAACTGGGTGGCGCTGTCTATGCCTGCAGACTTGAGTCAGGGACAGAGCTGCTGTCAGGAAGAGAGATGGGTTGGTTTGCTGTGGACACCCAGTAGCCGCCCCCTGCAGAACCAAGTCCCCTTCTGAGCCTCATGCTTCAAGGGTTTGTAGAGAGTGAGCTGAACACTAAGATCTTGAACCTACTCTTTGGAGAGGGGCTGAAGCCTGCGTGGGGCCTTGAGAGGGACAGGCTCCAGTGATGATAGCTGGTGTGAGAGAGGATTTGACCCTCTGCATGTGGCCCAAAGCAGAAGAGAACCCTTGGGGAGGCAGACAGACTGCCCCTGCCCTGATAGATTTACACGAAGACTTGGTTGTTTCTTTATTATGGTTGTTGTTGTCGCAGTACATTCCTTGTGGGGAATTGGTGCATGTACCTAATAAACATCTTAATTTTTTTTTCATCCCTTTCTTCTCCCTCTCTCTTGATCCTCTTCCCATTTGAGAAAGATCTGTCTCCCTGCTTCCTTAACTATCTTTTGTTTTGTTCTTTATTTATATTTTGGCTTTCTTTGGGATATTTTGCTTGTGTATCTAATTTATTTCACTGAAGGTATATCCTTTTCCTACAAATGACTCAAGTTCATCTTTTTTTACGGCAGAGTAGCGCATCTTCCCAGTGCAAGTACCACATTTTCTTTATCCACTCATCTGTTGATGGGCATGTAGGCTGCTTCCAGGATTTAGCTATTACGAATTGTGCTGCTATAAACATGGATATGCATTTATCTCTGTAATATGTCTTTAACTCTTTTGGGAAGTGCTTGGAACGGGACTAGCTGGGTCAAATGGAATTTCTAGTGTTAGTTTTTTGAGGGACCTCTGTACTGATTTCCATAGTGGTTGTACTAGTTTACATTCTCACCAACAGTGTGGAAGGGTCCCTTTCCCCCGCAGCCTCACCAGCGTGTTGCTATTTGATTTCTTGATGGTGACCATTTTTACTGTGGCAAAGTGGATCTCAGTGTTGTTATGAGTTACATTTCTCTAGTGCCCACAGATGTTGAACATTTCTTCATGTATTTATGGGACATTTGAACTTCTTAAAAGGCCGTTGGTATCTTACGTTGTATTTCACCAGTGTGACTGTTCTAATGAAAATATTTAGCCCCTTCCTCCCTGTTTTTCAAGTAAAAATAAGTTACTCCCTAAGGCCCCCGTCACCATGTGCCACTTCTAGCATGTGCTTTCTCACAGCTTCCCTCTCACTGCTGTGCCCTGTTGCCCTGGAGATTTGAGGCCTGACAGGTGGAGCCAGAGAGGGGCAGCTTTACAGAACTCAGGCTTTTTGTTTATGTTTGTTTGTTTGTTTTGTCTTTTTGAGACAGGGTCTTGCTATGCAGTTCAGGCTGGCCTTGAGCTCACTTTGTAACTCAGGCTGGCCTCGAACTCGCAATGATCCTCGTGCCTCAGCCTCCCGAGTGCTGGGATTACAGGCGTGTGCCACCACACTCAGGTACAGAACCCAGATTTTAAAGGAAGAGGGCTCCATTTCTAGGGCGGCCTTCCCGGGAAGAATGCCTCTGAGAAGCCGTTCTTTGGGCTTTAGAGGAACACTTAGGTCCAGGGCAGTTCCTGACGCTGACAGTGGGCCAGGTATTGCAGGGAGAGTGCATGTCACAAGTTGCTTCTGTTGAACAAGCAGCAGTTGTCCAGCTTTTGAAGGGAGAACATGGACTCGAGCCAGACAGCCTGCATTTGAGGTCTGGCTTTGGTGCCTCCTAGCGAGTACCTTTGCCAATAATACTAGTACCTGGACTAGAGAGTTGCAGAAGTAACTGACTGTAGGTAGAGCTCTTCATGGTGTTTCATTATCGCATTATGGATCATTGTTACTGTCATCTTCATCTCACAGATGAGAGAGAGTAAAGCTAGGAGAGTTTTGGGAGAGTAATGACTCCAGTGAGGATTCATACCTGTGAGTTCTGTTGGCTCACAGCTTGTTTTATTCCTGTACTGCCTTCGTTATTTGCAGTGTTTTCGTATCGTCCATATGGATTCATATGCTGGCGCTGCCATAGCAAAATATTGTAGACTCTGTGGCTCAAACAACAGCCGTTTATTTTCCCGCAGCTCTAGAAGTCCAAGAGCAAGGTGCCAGCCTGGTAGGGTTCTGCTGAGGGCTGTCTACCTGATTGCAGACCGCTGCTTGCTTGATGTTTCTTCTTCACAAGGCAGAGAGAGCTCTCTGACGTCCTTCTTTTCACAGGGATACCAGTTGTATGAGATTAGAGACTCAGTCTTACGACCTTGTTCATGTTTAATTACCTCCTTAAAGACTCTGTCTCCAAGTACAGCCTTGTAGGCATTAGGGCTCCAAAAGAATGAATTTTAGGGGAAATGCTTCAGTCCGTAGCATTCGTAATAGGTTGAGGAGGCTGTGCTTTTTGACCTTTGAACTTAACTCTTTTCAGGCTTGGAAGCGTTTGTCTCTGCTGCCAAAAAGCTACCCCAAGAAGATGTGTATGATGTCGTGGAAGGGTACATAAAGATTTCTGTTGAATGTGCAGAAGTTTTCCAGCTCCTGAGTGGGGAGAAGCGACCTGAAAGTGAAGTATGTTTGTTCCTTACCTCACCTGACTAAGGGAAGTTAATGCTGCGGTGCTGTTAACTTAAGCTTGAGGAAAAGGGATGTCAGTTTCCCAGACACCACTGGTCATTTTCAGAAAATGCTTCTTTGTGCCATTGTGTAGGAATACGCTATTTTCTTTATGACCTTTGAAAGTATTTTAGTGGGAGATGCTGAAGTTCTTACTAATGTTTGGTGAATAATGTCAAAAGGCGGGCTCCTAGATGAGAAGGCACCTGGTTTGTTTTAACAGAAGGGAAGCAGGTGAACAGCGTACCGCAGACTCAGAACTCATGTAGAATTGGTTGTCTTCGGGTTCCAAAGAGGTTGAAAACTTAGAGTATTTATGAACTTATCAAAGTCCCAGGGCTCTTGCTATAAGGCTGTAGAGCCCAAAGCAGTGAGACCCAGTTATCGTCAGAGGCCTCTGCCCCTGCCAGGACTTGGCTGTGTGTAGCTGCGAGCAAGGTGCTCTGTAGCGCAGGGTCCTGGTGGGTGAGCCTGCTGCGCCTTAGCCCTCTTACCTTGGCCGCGTTTGGCCCCGGGCCTGGCAGGCCTAACTCTGCACGTTGGCTCCAGTGCAGGCAGGGGCAGACTGTGTACAGGAGGAGAAGAGGGAAGACAATTCACAGCGTCTCAGCTCCATCTTTGCAGGTGCTATTAATCTTTCAAGTTTTTGAGGCCATATTGTTGCGGACAGCAAGCGATCTTTCACATTTTCATGTCGTGGGCACCAATATTGTGAAGCAGCTAATGAACAAACACATGAAGCTCATCTGCGAGTCCCTGTATGCCTCAGGTTACAGGTAAGCGGCCTGCCTCTGACAAAGGGCCAGCCTTTGGCGTGGTCTGTGCTCAGCTCCCCGTGCGTGCTTTTAACCTTTCCTTCGCTCACTAAGGAGAGCAGAGCTGTTTCTGAGGCTCGTGTGACGGTGTCTCTGCCTCTCCTAGCAGGCCTGTCGCCGACTCCTGTCCCACCATGTGTCCCTCCTACTCCAGCCCTGCTGCTTTCCTCGCTGAGCTGGGAACAGCCAGCCTTACACAGCCTGTTCTTCCTTGCGGGCTGTTCCCGCGTAGCCCTGGCGTCGCTGCCTGCCTTTGGTGCTGTACAGAAGTGTCACTGCATCAGGGCCTTCATTTAACTGCCTGTGTCCGGTAGCGCTCCCACTGTCCTGTCCTGTGCCCCTCGCCTGTGCACATAGACGAAGACCTGCAGAGCTGACATCGCATTCTGTACCTGTCAGCCACCTTCCTCCACTGCAGGGCAAGGGCCAGTGTGGGCAGGGGCCCCGCCTGCCTTATACGTGCTGCCTTCCCAGGACTAGAGCAGTGCCTCCCAAGGAGCAGGTGCTCAGCGAGCCACTGGTTCGGGGTGACTGCAGAGTTGCAGCCACATGTTCACTTCTGAGAGACTTGAGGAAGTCGCCCCATGTCCTCAGGACACAGAGATGGACACAGAGACTCGATGTCGTCTCCCAGTCACGTGATGGTTTACTTGAGAGAGAAATTTTCATCTTTGTGTCTTGACTTCCTAAGTCTCTGTTTCAGCTTCCTCTGAACTTTTTTTATGCTTTTCTTAGAAAAAGAAAAGAAGATTCTTCCTTCCTTCATTTTTCTGATTTTGATATGGCAAATCATACAGCCAGGTGTGCCCGTGACCTCCTGATGAGGTGGCCTTGTGCTTCTGCTGTTCCTGACCTGCCTGGTTTTCTGTGCCTGTGCAGGGTAGCTCGAGCCTGCCTCAACCTAATGGCTGCCATGGTGACCCAGGGTCCAGAAGCTGCCAGGGATGTCTGCAGCCATTTTGATTTGAATAGAAAGAACTTGTATGCCCTGGCGACTAAGAGGGACTCAAAGGTTAGTACCCCAAATATTGTGCTTCTTCCTTGACTGGTGTGGGTCGGCCACTCTGCACAGCCTGAACCCCAGAGACATCTGAGGAAACTTCTAGGGCCATGAGGAAGAGGGGGAGGTTGGTTCTGTGGTGCAGTACCTCTGAGGATGACTTAGCTGCGAGCACCCACTCTTCTGAGTGAAGGAAGTAATCTCAGCCTCACAGCAGTGAGTATTATAAAGTGCCCTAGTCCTCCATTCTCATCTGTCCATTTTAAAGACCATCTGGAACTCTAAGCCACTGACATCCTTAAAGAGGGCTCTTATTTCTCTTTGATAAATGACTCTGTGCCTCCCAGTTGCAATCTTGTCATGGGTTGGGGCTAAGTGGCAGGAAAGAGAATGGAAGTGTGAATGCTTGGTTTTCAGGAGAGCTATAGAAAGAATTCGCTGGTGGCTCCAGCAGTGTCACTTGGGTCTGGGAAGGCCCTTGGGAAGAAAGCTCAGTTGGAGCCCTAGTTCTCGCCACTTTCTGAGCAGAGGGGCAGCTGGGCAGGTGAAGAACCCATGTTAGCATGATCCCTCTCTGTAACCGTATGCTGACTTGTTCTCAGTACTCCTGGGAATCAAGTTTCCTCCCTGTCAGGAAGTAGACTAACGGGTTAAGAAGAATGCCAAGTAACTTCTACCGCCCTGTGAGATTGGTCTGGTGTTGAAGGTTTTACTGAAATTACAAATAAGGTCCTCTCTGAGAAAAAAAGTCTTGATCTTACTGTCTTGTAGATACTATGCTTTATTAACATGTCAACAGATTCCATTTAGTGAGTAATGGCTCCTGACATTTAAATGCATTTCTAATAAAAAGAATGTGTGTGCACACTCGGGCAAATATCACGGTTCTTTGGTCTTGGCAGCAAGCCCGGCAGTAATTGCCCGTCAGGTACCTGCCCCTTCCAGCCCTGTCTCTCTTGACTCCAGCCATCTGAGCGGCAAAGACTCTGGCACCGAGGCCACCCACCGAGACCAGAAACTGGGAAAGCCCACCTACGGCTCCCCTTCCTGAGCCCCACTGCACCAGCTGTATCATCTCAGGGTCTCGGGGCGGGTGGTTTTACCTCTGCAGGATCTGTGAAATGGGAGCGAATGCCAGGCTGAAAGTGCACTTTCTTTTATTTAACCTATCTCAAGGGTGAGCGCGCTGAACTACCTGGTGTGTTGTGTGAAATGGTGTCTAGACATTAAACTTTTTTGATAGTGGAAATGTCAGGGACATTAAAAATAGAGCAGCCTAAGGAAGCTTTATGTTCCAGCGTCATCAGAACTTGTCACCCCTCCCATTTTTTCAATTTGCTTGGCAAAGCCTATTATAGCCAATCTCAGACATGAATCATATCTCGCCATAAATATTTCAGTGTGTACTCTAACAGAAAAAGCCCTTTTAAAAAACAAAACCATCGAGCCATCATCACACCTACCACCATGAATAATTTCTCAGTGTCTTGTAGAGCCCTACTTGATCTAGTTCTTTGGACTCTGGGAATTATTTTCACGCTGTCTCAGTTGCTGTCCTTGTCCCTGAGACAGGATACCTAAGCGCCACAACTTAAGTGGGGAGAGGTTTATTTTGGCTCACATTTTCAGTCTGCGGTCAGCTGGCTGCAAGGCAGGAAGCACACGGTCAGAAGGCCAGGCGGAGGGAAGCTGCTCACGTCACGGTGGGCCGGAAGCAGAGGCGGGAGGAGCGGGGACCTTTGCAGGTCACGCCCCCAGCAACTTACCTAACAGGAGTCAGCTGTGCTGCACCCACGGTCCAGTCACCCTCCAAACACATGAAGCTTTGGGGCCATTTTAGAGCCAAACCATAACATCCTCTGGTTAAAGAAAAAATTCCACACGTTGCTTTTGGTTGGCGAGCTTCTCCGATCTCATTGCATCTCTTTTCCATCTTTGTGTTTCTCCTGCCTCTTTTCATACACTTGAGTTGTTAAAGATGCTAGTAGCAAATTCTGGTTTTTAGTGAGTGTATTTGAACATTTGGGAGGGAATTATTAAAGCCTCCTGAAGAAAGGACCATGGATATCTTCATCCAGCCAAAGAAAGCATTGTTAAAATCCTGTGCCAAAGAGCAGTCTTGCCAAATATGTTTTGGTCTATTTTAGACAGTGTTTTGCAGAACAAGCCCTGAAGAGTTCAGGACATTTTCTTCCAGGGATAATAGCTCTGTGAAGTCACAGAGTAGAACTGAAGGATTAGGTGTGTGACCCTCTTTCAGCAGGCGCAGGACATCTTTGAGGAGCCGCCTGGAATGGGCAGCTGCAGGGTCTTCGAGACCTCATCTGTCTAGTTCCCTCACAGGGCTGGAGTCTGAGATTAGGGGCTGTCAGATATATGCAGAAAGGGAGCCAGCAGGTGATAACCAAATTCTTTCTCTAGAAATGCATTGCTAGAGGACCCATGGGAGGATCTAATCCAACTTTACTGTGTATAAGTGGGACAGCAAGATCTAAAACTGCAGAAATTGCGGCCAGCATTCCAGGACCCTGACTCTAACACCATCTGAGTGGACACAGAGTTGGGGGGCGGTTCTGTGAGCGGGGAGAAAATAAAACCTAATTTAGTTTCTTCGTACAAGTTTTAGTGTTACACCAACATTTATTCACAATATGATGCAGATGCAGACCAGGATAATCATGGCTGTGCTGGGATTGGTGAGATGTTTATGTGAACAGTGAGGCCCCCGGGTAGCGTGGGGATGGTTACTTTAAGCCCCCTCAGGATGGTTTCTTAGTTGACTTTGCATTCTCTCAGCCTGAGGTTAGGGCATCTCGAATGCCATGGGGCTTTGTGAACATGAAACTGGTGACAGAGGCACAGGGGTGTGTGTGCCCGTTTCGCACACGCGTTATCAGCGTGCCCAAACCCATATGGTGAAGAGGCCCACAGATCAGAGGCATCAGTAGATGCTCCGGTTGTATCTGGAATGAATCAGCATCGATCTGATGAGGTCTTGCCGTGTGCTACGTGACGTGGGTGGAGTGAGACTCCAGAAATGCAGCAGATGCGCAGGGCCTAAATCCAAGTGTTTGAGAGTAGGAATTGCCTACCGCCATTTTTTTTTCTTTCGAGGTATTGGGAATAGAACCTAGGGGCTTAGGCATGCTAGGCAAGCAGTTTGCCACTGAGCTCAACGCCCAACTCTTTATTTCAAGGCAAGGTCTCACTGAGTTGCCCAGGCTGACCTCAAGCTTGCAATTCTCCTGTCTTAGCCTCCTGAGGTATTGCAGGCATCTTTTCTCCAGAAGAAATGCTGCATAAAACAAGAAGGAATTGATCGAATACTTGCACAGAGAGCTCAGCAATGCCAAATGGGCCCGCTGCACTTTGAGAAAAGGTGAAATGCAGGTGCCAGGGGTCCCTGAGAAGCAGCATGAGCATGTTTGTGCAGATATTTCTTAATTATCCCAGTTCTGGTACCTGGTTACTTAGCAGGTGTGTGGGCTTGAGTGAGTTTTTAACCCTCCCTTTGCCCATCTGTAAAATGAGGATGGTAAGCATCCTCACCTCAGCTTATTAGGAAGAATAGTGAGATAACAGATGTGCAGCATCTGGCACAGTGCCTGGCATAGTGCTCAGTAAGCATTGGCATCATTGTCACGATCACCGCACTGCCTCAGCGGCCACTGCTAAGTGGGGCAAGGCTATCTGGAAGGCAGAGGTGGCCCCTTGGTATTTCTTGCCAGGTATTTGCAATGGTAATTCTGTATACTATTTATTCCTCGGCGGTGGATGAAGGTGCATTGGTATTTCTGTGAGGTGAGAGAAGGCTGGGGTTTAAGTGGGTCGGTCTAAGCACACTCTAGCTCTAAAACAGCCAAGAGGAGATGTGTGTGCGACCCTGTGCTTCAGCTTCCTTCGGTGTAGAAGAGGGTGATGAGACGCAGCTTTGTCTTGTGACACTGAGAGGAAAAACTGATCAGCTGGCCCCAGTGGCCTCCGTGGGAGTGTTAGCTGCTGGCCATGGGCGTGGGGCCTTGCTGCCCCAGGTTGTTGCTGAGCCCTGTAAGATGGCGCAGGCTGTAGACCTGGGATAGCTATGCTGGGTTCATAACCTAAAGCATCTATGCTTTAGTTTCTCTTGCGAGTTAGTAACTTATAATATCCAATGCAAACCAGACATCAGCACATTGGTTTCTTATCAAAAGTAGCACCAGATTTTCCATTCTTTCTAGATTTACAAAGCCTGAATGGATTATTGTCATTGGCAGAGTAGGGGGTGGGTCTAGGTGGGCTGAGAGTCTTTTGCTGTACACTAAAGTGATCCATAAACTCAAAACTTGACGTGTTACAGTTGGGGAAGGGGTACAGTTGTGGGTAAGAGAGCAAAGAAAGCCCTTTGCTTTCCGTAAAGAATGTGCACTGGCTTCAGACAGCCACTGTCCGAAGACCGGGAACAAGACGAGAGGCTGGTGACGTTGGGAGGTGCACGCATGCCTGCTGTGTTCCTGTCTCTTCTGCCTGTGTGTGTGAGACGCATGTGACGTGTTGGTCTCCTTTGTCCTCCAGGGAGTGCCTGACGTGCGGCTGGCCTACATCCAGTTTGCCCTCTCCTTCTTAATTGCTGGTGATGATAGCACTATAGGGCAAGTGCTGGAGCTGAAAGGTAGGTATTCGCTTTGTCTCTTAGCAAAGCCCACCTGCAGTTGTTCTGAAAGACCATTTCTTCCAACAAATCTGTAGCCTTTGCAGCTACATTGTGTGCTGATGTGTGCAGGGGCAAAGTCTTGGGCATTGCCATCTTGATATCACTGTTAGCATGAATGGAAGCATTCCTGTGAGACTGCCTGGAGTGCTGAACTTTGCCCTAACAAAGGATTAATGCAAACAAGGAGGCTTTGGGTTCCAGAACATAGCAGAGATTCATAGCCTTGGCTACCTGGCTTTCTTTAGTAATGCGTTTTTAAAATATAATTTATTTGGTTTGGAGAGTAGCTCAGTGATGGAACACTTACCTAGCATGTGCAAGGCCCTTAGATTTGATCCCCAGTACCATGCTAAACACACATAAAGCTTAAGTACCCTAGTTGCTCTACTCGATGCTATCAGGATATGAGGGCTCCGGAGAATTTCTACGTGATCACCTTCTGGTGGCTGTTTTCCTAGAGCAAGGCTTAACATAGTTTATTAGGGCCACTTGCCTGAAGAGATTTTGTAAGGTGGTAAATGACAGGATGGAGCTTACTTAGCACATGGCAGTTGCAGAATCATGCCTGTGTATTCTGCTCAGAACTCTGGGGATCGTCCTTAGAGGACCGCCAGGGTGCTATAGCCTCGTGTGATTGCACGGGTGGCCCTCACCCCGCACACCCCATGGAAGGGAGACCCGAGCTCCTCCAGAACTTGAGGGCGTGGGTGGTGGCTGCCTGGTCTGTGTGGGGCTCATCACTGGCAGAGCATCCTGGAAGAGGATACCACGCACAGACAGCTCTTCCCCACTCATTGCCGGAACTGGGTTCAGGATGTCCTGCTGCCACCAGGGCCAGCAGTTTCCTGGGGTCATCTTAGCCATCTGGCCTTTTGCTGAAAGACAGTGGGCACTCGTTTCCACTGCCAAAGGGCAGGTTTGTGTGGGCAGTTTGGCCTCCTGCATCAGATCTTCTAAGATGTTTGGTCTAGCAGTTCCATGTATAGGCATTTGTACTAAGGAAATAGTTAAGGATGTAAGTAGAGGTTTGATTAAGGAAGACTTTTCTTGTATTAGCTGAAGAGCAAACTTCTAGCCATGCAGGGGATCAGTTGAGTAAGTTGAACACTAGCCATATGATGGACTGCAACTGTTAAAAATATTATGGAAATACGCTTATGGACACCAGAGTTTGTCACTGATATATGATTGGGTATCAGCTTATAGAGCAGTAAAGTATGATCCCATATCTCTCAGCAAGTCTAAGCAGGAGTAAAGTTTTAGAAGACTGTAGTCATACTGCATGTTCTTTTTCAATCATTGTTAAATTCATTTTACTTAATGTACGAAACATGAAAGCAAAAGGGCTGCAGAATATAGCCTACTGGCAAGTGCAAGGTCCTAAGTTCGATTCCTGGTACCAAAATAAAAAAGAAATAAAAAATGGAACTGAAGAACTACTGAACTTTTGATTGGGTGTAGTGGTGCATGCCTGTAATCCCAGCATTTGGGAGGCTGAAGCAGGAAGATTGCTGTGCATTCAAGGTCGGCCTGGGCTACAAAGTGAGTTCAAGGTCAGCCTGAACTGCATAGTAAGACCCTGTCTCAGAAAGAAGAAAAAAGAACTACTAAGCTACTTTTTAAAAAATCCTGTCTTTACCTTTAGGTACCCTTGATTTTATATGTCATGAATTTGGTTTTTCTACTGTGAAATTATATAATTAAGAAAGACAAAACTTTTTTTTTAAATGTACATGGCATTGTTTGCTGTACCATTTAATCAGTAATATTCTCTCATTCATTCTCATTTCCAGAATACTTCTGCATTTAATGGTTTGCCACTTTTATTTTCAGAGTTTATCCCTTGCATTTTTAACTCAGGCATAAAGGAAGATAGGATTTCCACCATCAACATTTTGTTATCTACACTGAAAACAAAGGTATGTGTTTGGTGACCAGTTTTCTTGTCATTCGTTTTCTCTTTGTGAATGAAGAAGTGGTCCTCTGTCCTTTCCGTCCGTGTCTGTGTCCGTGCCCCACCACCACCCCCATTTGCTGCTTTCTTGGCTATAGTTACCCAGACTGAGCGGAAAACAGCTTCTTACACAGGCCCTAGGCCTGACGGTGAGGAAGTTCTGGGGTCAGAAGCTTGAGGAATGCAGGGTCTGCCCTGCCCTAGGACGGGAGGAAAGCTGTTGATCAGCACTTCACAGCAACCCAGTTTCATAATCGTGAGCTACAAATTGCAAATCATACTTCACTGACACCTCTAGTGCAGTGTTAATTTGTGTCATGTTACGTATTCTGCTTTTGGCAAACATCCTTACAGAAATTTAAGAACTTGCCAAAAAGGATTACTGTCCTTGAGATAGAAACATCGTAAGTGATGAGGAAAATTCTGTTACCCTCAAAACATGAAAAGTTGTCAAGAGCCCATATAAAAATGGCTAATAAGCAGGAAAACACCTTTTGTAGTTTATAAAATATTGGTTCTCCATTGAGTATAGTTTTGCTCTCATTTAGACATTTGGCAATACCTGGAGAGTGTTTTAAATTTTTATTTATCCATTTTTCTGGCAAGGTCTCACTGTAAAGTTTAGGCTGCTCTTGAACTCACTTTGTAGCCCAGCCTGGCCTCAAACTCATGCATGGCAATCCTCCTGCCTCAACCTTCTTTTTTTTTTTTTTTTTTTTTTTTTTTTTTTTT